ACTAAGTCGCCCGCAGGGGGGAAATTGGTCGCCCGCGTGCATGTTCTAAAAATAGCACAAGTCACCATGGAGCCCCGTCTAAAAAAATTATTGAATACATTTTTAATTTTTAATTTTCTCAGCCTGCCACTGACGCTCAACCAGAAAACGTTAGCAGTTAGCAAGCAAACAGAGATCACAGCTCCTCATATCTTTTCAGAAACTGGACAACAGTTAAACAAGTACAAACCACAGACTGTCTGTGTCATGGCGAATACAGTCGCTGGTTTATTTATGTCTGTAGGCCGTTGTTGTGAGTGTGGAATGAGCATATACAACGTTAGCTTAGCCTGGTCGACCCAATCTCCATTCAGAAAACAAGCATTTTAAAAGGTTTTTCGCCTGCCGTCTTGTCTGCAGACTTGTCAAGCATTAATTCATGGTTTTTACTAAACGGTATCAGTATGTTGTTACTTCGGCATCATTTAGAAACGTGTATTACAATTTAATCACGGTTTGTTGTAGTTGTAGCTCCCGAGCCAGCGCGTCTTGTTTGAATGATGCGAGTAAACACAGTTGGCAGCAGCGGTGAAACTCAAGCGATTAGAGCGAAGTCGCGTCCGGTGTGAACGCAGCATTACAACGACCCCTGATAGATCTCGCGAGAATGTGTATAAATATAGATACATTTTCATAACAAAACAATGGGGTTGCTATAGCAATGGTAAATCATTGTTACTAATTATTGTGAGGAATAATTAACATTAACATGTGATCAGACAGTCCTTCACATACAGTAAATCAATATGTATTCTGATTATTATTAATAATAATATTATCATTAAAGGTGAACCGTGCAATTATGTTATTCAGGAAGTTTGTATCAAACAAGTAGCCCTTCGTATTACTCAGTACCCTTGAAGTAGTCCTCGGTGACAAAAAGGTTGGTGACCCCTGCCCCAGAGTTTGCCGCTTGCTCAAAACCCATCTCTTCAACTCTGTCTACCCATTAGCCCAGCTCCCCCCTCTCAATCAACTTGACTGCCTTTTCTGTTTATTTTATTTTAATTTCTTTTATAATTTTTCTTTTTGTCGGTCCTTGTTTGTCTTCCCTCCCTCATACTGTAAAGCGTCTTTGAGCTGTAGAAAAGCACTATATAATTTAATGTATTATTATTATTATTATTATTATTATTATTATTATTATTATTATAACATAGTGTCATCTCTATGTAACACTTGGCTTCTATTGGCTAGCGCATCTCTAGGTGGTTGACCAATCATAACAGAGCTGGCCAGTTAACCAATCAGAGCAGACTGTGCTCTGGTTTCAGACAGAGGGTGAAAAGAGGTGCTGCAGCACAGGTGGTTTGAGAAAATTAAAGACCTTCTTGAACATTAAAGCATGTAAACATGTCACAGTAGAGGCACAAAATACAAATATGAACCTGAAAATACACTCGGCGTCAAACTATAAGGCTCTCTTTTGCAGTAGTTATCTGACAGGCTTAGTGTTGCTTGAGTTTCTTTATTTACACACAAACCGATACCCTCACACATGTGTTCCTGGTGTTTACCTTGGACACAAAGCAATGTGTGAGGAGAGGGTAATACTATATCCCTCTGATGCATTTTTAATGAGGGTATGCCTTGGGCTTCCCTTCTCTGACTTCTGGAACCATCAGCCTTTTTTCCCCTCAGTCCCTATGTGTGGATCCTTTGTGAGCCATGAATGACCGACAGGGTCTCCTTAGGGTGTGTTCTAAAAGGACATAAACAATTGTGAGATAAAGGAGAAAGTTAGTTTTGGGATAAAGTTGGGGTGTGTGTGTTTGGAGTCATGCCACACAAATGGCAGTCTTGTCTCTCTTGCCACACACAGACCAACCAACAGTTTCTGAAGACTGTGACGGAGCAGAGCACAGAGATGGAGGATCTACACAGCCAACACAGGTAACCAAATACATCAGAGATTCAACATGGCTGACACATTCTCTCAGAAGTAGGGTATTGTTACTATAGGAAAAGCAAATTGATGCAGGATTCAACATTACTTGGCCTTGAAGCAGTCTTACCCATGGCTCAAAGCCATGTTCTTACAGAAAAGTTAAATCTGCACGATTTGTTATCGTTTCTTTTTTACATAAAAGGCTTTTGTCAAACATAGAAATATTCATCCCAGTTTATCAAAGTCCAAGGTTGCGTCGAATATGAACTATTAATTGATTTTTGCAAACAATTGGTGGTCTTTTTTATTTCAACCAAACAATCGTTGCAGCTGTACTTACTGTTTATTTTCGTTTTGGTTAAGCGTCTAATTTAAAGGAATAGTTTGATATGTTTATAAAATACGCTTGAAGCTATAGTCAGCAGCCTGTTAACTTAGCTTAGCATTATGACTCTCTGTTAAAAAGCAAACTAAATCCATCTGTGAACAGAAGCTCAGAAGTTAACATGTTGCAATATATAATTTGTCGCATCCAAAAACAGTGCATTTTCTTAAATGTCAACAATGTTTTAATAACCAAATAAGGGGACTATAAATTCAAGATTGCCGTCAGGTTGTCTTGGTGCTTTAACTGTTTCTGTCTCTCTTTCATGCCGGTGTAGGCAGTCCAAGGCTGAGTTGAGGACGGCCACAGCCAAAGTGGATGAGATGACCAAAGTGCTGCAGAGTTTCCAGGACCAAATGCAGAGACGGGTGAGAGGAGATGAAACATGCACAGAATATCAATATATTCAGCATTTCCAGAGTTGTTAAGCACCTAAAGAGTTTGTAAAATCTTTAAAACAATGTCATTTTTTGTGTTTAATCAAATTGTTGTAACTGTAATCTATTCCAAGTAATGGCACTTAATGGTTCACTTAGTTTCTCTAGCTGTTGACTGAACCTAGCTTTAGTATGCAGTGATATGAATTCAATTGAAACAGCAGTTGCTTTTGTTTCAGACTTATTAGAACATTTATCTGATTTTATGTCGTTTTTTGCATTCGGGCATCACTTTTAGGATATTGTGGCCACCTTTTACCAATATCCTCCAAAAAATGTTTGTCATAGAATTGTTCCGGGTAATTGAGAAAAAAATGTATGTGTTTTTATGTGTATACATTTAGGAGGAAGATGTGGCAGAGGCTCAGGGTCGAGAGGACGCAGCAGACAGGCGGCTCCAGCAGCTTCAGGCAGCCCTGAGCCAGCTGGAGGCCAGGTGAGGAAAACATCTGCTGCTTTTTGTTTTCTGGAAAAATACAGAACATATGTTTGAGGAAGTGGAATGCGCATTATATTTTCTATTGCAATTTTCTTTTTTTTATAAAAATGTCCATCCCACTTTCTTAAATTCCAAAGGAATGTCTTCAAATGTCTTTGTCAGTTTATAACTTAAATATTTTAAAAATGATGCGAAAAAAGAGAAAAGCAGGAAGACTCACTTATTTAAAATCAGCATTTTCCGACGTTCTTTCAATACAAAATTGACAAAAATCACTCAATGAAACCGTTGTATTGCAGCATTGTGAAACTAGTGACACAATTGCATAAAATCTTCATTCTAGAAGTGTTTTACAGTTCTCTAGACACACCACATTCTTCATCAAATCGAAGCATTTCGGAATCAGTCCAAACGACAGTATTGAAGATCCATGCAGCAATTCCTGTCTTCCCCCCTGCTTGTACTTACCTTTCTCTAACTTTTCTACATTCTTCCAGACTACAAGCTGCCACCCAGGAGGCTGAGGCGGTTCGCAGGGATCAAACTGTGTGGGAGAGAAAGGTGGGGGAACTTCAAAATCGCTGCAGCACCCTGGAAGAGGAGAAGTACGAAGCCCTGGCCAAAGTTAGAGAGAGTGTTCAGGTGGCTGAGGAGGCTACATTGCAAAGGGAACAGGTGACCCTCCCTTTCTGTAACCATCCCTTCTTCTGTTGTCTTTTTCTTTGGCTGAACCTCCCTCAAAATCTGTTGAGCTGCAAGATACTCTGACAATGCATCTCCTGCTGACTGAAAGTGTTTCTTCACCTTCTCCTGTCAGGTCCTGTTAAGAGAGAAACAGAAAAAAGATGAGCTGGAGAAGACAAAGGAGGCCATCAAACAGTTAATCCAGGATGCTGCAGTACGCACAAGGAAAGAGGTGTGTTAGAGATTCATTGCTTTAACCCTCTGGAGTCTAAGGGTATTTTCTCGATTTTTAGATGTTTTCTTAAATCACCTTTTAAATGTATTTCTTCTAACATGGCACCCCATGTGTTCATATCAAAATGTTCAGGACAATCTCTGGTATTGCTATATATGCACATTACCCACCTTAGAACACTGTGTGATGAGATAAGTAGCTCAAAAGCTTAAAATTTGACATCCGATTTTCGGAAAATCGTCAAAACTCTTGTGAAAACACAAATTTACTCATGTGATCGAATTGTTTTGTGCTACATCTGATTACAAAGTCTCATCTGTAAAGGACGGTAAAATAATCACAGGCACACATAAATAAATCTATGACAAAGTCTCATCTGTAAAGAACAGTATGATAAAATAATCACAGGCACACATATAAATAAATCGATGGCAAAAACATGTCTATAGCCACTGTAAATGTCTCCGTTGTGGGACGTTTGCTAATGGAGAGTCTATTTTGTCCCAAGAAAAAGTTCATGACTATCGATAAAAAATATATCAATAAACCTATTGTTACTTTTCGCGGTATTCCCCACACATTGCCAGTACACTATTACTATAATATTTACTCTTACCCATGTCCAAATGGATCTTTGTTGTTGTCTTTGTATTCTTCTTCTTCAGAAGAGTCGAAGACTTCAGGTTCTGAGGCTCTATCTTCACTGCTGCTAGCGAAAAAAATCTCTAGCGAAGTCGGCGACTGTAAAGTTTTAAGCCATTTTCTGTCTCTCTCTTTCTCCTCACAGACGTAAACTGATGGAAGACACGTGATTTATGTTTTTTTTTACTTGGTGGGTAGGTCCTTAGTGATTTCTCGATGTCCATTGGTCATTTCAGACCATGATGGCTGCCGGCCGAGATTTCTTTGACGGACACACGAATCCACCAATCCCACACAGTGTAAAGTCAAGCTGCTTTGAGCGGCCATATTGGATGCTGTGCCCTGGTTACAGTCTCACAGGAGATACCGCTGGAAAGCTACACTTTCAGCGATTCCGCGGATGTCTGAATCATATTTCTACTCCTTGTAATAAAAAATATATGATTCATTTATGTAAATTACGCGCACTTGGACACGCCGGCGCGTCCACCTACTCCAGAGGGTTTTAACTACCGATTATCAATTGATGTAATAGATGATGTTAAGGTTTAATTTCCAACATGGTCCCAAAACAGTGCAAAGCCCTATACATTCAACTTGAAGAGGCACTATTATGTTTTCTGGGGCTCTCCTTTAGTGTGTTTTATATAGGTTCCTGTGCATGTAAATGGTCTGCAAAAGCTAAAATCCAAGGATTCCTCAAGAGGGAGTTTCTCTCCCACACACTCCCCCCCCCTGCATGAAACGCCTCGATCAAATTCCTTTGTCTCTGTAACATAGTGACATCACTACGTAACTTATATTGCCTATCGCTCCAACACATTGGACATGATAGGTTAAGGAGTGGAACATTTCCAAAACATCTCTAAACGGTCGATCAATCACAACAGAGTCGGCCAGCTAACCAATCAGAGCAGACTGGGCTCTGGTTTCAGACAGAGGGTGAAAAGAGGAGCTGCAGCACAGGAAGTATGAGGAAAATAAAGAACATTTATAACCTTAAAGCATGGAGACATGTCACAGTAGAGGCACAACATACAAATATGAACCTGAAAATGAGCAAAGTATGTCCTCTTTGAAATATGAAAACAATACTGAACCAATTTATAATTCCCACAACTAAAAACAGACAACTAGACAATAACGCCATTGCAAATCGCACTACAAATCTTTTACCGTTATGTAGCAAAAGGCTGTTCCACAATATTGGTGGGCTTTTTTTGTTTGAGATTAATTTAAATTCCATTCAATAATTTCAGCTATCTGTAATAGAGTGGAATGAGTCCTAAACCCCGAAAGTGAGCATTTTAGCACTTCCGTGCTCTCTTGTCTTGAACTCAATGTATTTTTAAATGGTTTTTCAGTTAAATTCCCGAAATAAGGTCTGTGGTGAACACAAACTTACAATGATCTTTCTTTGTTCTGCAACATAAAATATTTCAGTGAATACCCAACTGGTGAACACATCTGTTGCTTTTACGTTTCTTTAATAAACGATAGTTGCTAACAAGTGGCTAAATGGACTACTTAACGTCATCATGCAAAACATTAGCTGTCTTTAGCTTAGCGGTGGTGACGTGTGTTTGCCAAAGATCTTATGACATGCAATATTCCAAAATCCAATGGAAAACTTCCGTTGGCTTTTAGTCAAGGGAGCCATTGCTAGGCTAACTTCCGGGTCACTGCACCCCTCTTTTGGCTTATTTGACCAAATGTCCTACATGTCATTCACGGCCCCTACACGCGGCAGCGTGCGTTGCCGCTTCAACGCTTCTGCCCATTCACTTTGAATGGGGTTACGTCACGATTCGCCAAACTGCATTGTGGGAGCAAAGCGTAGCTTCTCTCACGGTGCACGCTGCAAAAGTAGAGCAATGTTCTACTTTTGCCCCCTCGACGGAGGCGTCAGTCAATCGAATCATATGCCAGTGCAAGCTCTAGCCAATCAAACCGCGTGCTTGTGTTTCTGGGGCGGGAGATTCATGTGATGGTTGTTGGTTCCTACAAGCCGCCGTGTGTAGGAGCCGTTACTGTTTGCAACTACAATCTGCTGCCTTTAACAGACTGATGATGTCCCATCATTAGTCAAAAGTACTCACTGTTGTCAAGATACTTGGTGTTAACTCTATACTTAAATTCTGAAAGAGACTAAACCCTGAATAAACAACAGAAACCACAGAATATTTGATATATAATTAGCCTAACACGGCGGCTCGACCCGATACTGATGTAATTAATAAGTCTTCACCATCAAGTCCTTAAACTGTTTAATCCTGTTAATGAGGCCCTGGTAGGGCGGCAAACTGCGGCTGTCATCTTGTTCTCTGAATTCCATTTTTACAAAAGAAAATGTTATTTATAGAGTAACTGATAATTTGCTTCACTTTGGAGAATTACACCTATGTTGTGGGGGGTTTGCAATCTCCTCTCCAACTCATCTTAACCTGAAGTTTTAAGAAAATGAAAGTGTAATAGAGAATTAACACTAAAGCTGCTTACGATGTTAGTCAGACCTCAGACTTACCTGAGAGTCAGCAAGTGGAGCTTTTTTCCACCAATCGGAAAGCCAGTCATTGGATCCGCAGCCCCTGCTGTCAACATGTTAATGCATCCTTGTGCAGGACACCTGACCCCAAATAAGTCCAGATGGCATGGCTAATGTTGTATGAGTGTGTGTGAATGTTAGTCTCTCTGAGCAGGTAGCACCTTGTATGGCTCCCTCTCTATGAATGTGTGTCAATGAGTGTATGAAGAAGCATTGGGACAGGTGCTACATGAATGCATTAAATTGACCATTTAGCAGAGTTGAATGCATGGGTGAGGGTGGACATTTCTGGAAATACAGGTTCAGACTGTTCATCTAAAGCTTATATTGTGTAGTCTTGACCACTAGTAATGTTATTGAGCACTGTTTATATTTGTGGTGTTGAAGCTATTTAGCTAATTTATATTATTTATAATATATTAGGATGATACATTAAGCATTTGTTATTGTTATTTTATTATGCTGAGCATGATTTGGATCACCCCGTGTTGAGATGTATTATTGTTTGGGTTAAAACCCCCCTAAAAAGCATAATAGGGCCTCTTTAAATATAATTGTGGACAAAGTGAGAAGGGACGATGTGTAGTGTCTACGGTCTGAACCATAGAGGGACATTGAGATGACATGGAGAGCATACACGACAATCCACAGCTTATATAACGTCTTACACATAAGGAAATGACATGTAATTAAATAAACCATAGGTGGTGGCTCATGTTAACTAATTTGTATTCTTTCACGTTCTTAGAAATATTATATATATATTCTATTATTTATCTACTCTTTTAGACCTTTGTCCCTCTATTTTTCAGTCATTTTTATGGTGAATTTAAGTCAATTCATGCCTTCCGAGGTTCATGCTAGATTATTTCCACCTTGACTTATTTATTTTTTCATATATCCTTTGACATTCTCTCTACTTCAATTTGACTTACTCTTTCTGAAGTATTTACACCATTTTTCACACATTATTGTCCCTTCCTTTATCAGTCTGTTTTTTCTTCCTTTGGTAATAAAGGCACATGCTTGCTTGGAACATTGGAGGTAAAAATGAATTGTCTATCTGGAATAAAGTGACAGCACTTTCCAGATCCCAGCAGTCATTTCACATTTTGGAACTATGTGCCTTTATCTCTTACAGGTGGATAATGTGCGCAAGCAGTGCAACGTCCAAATCCACCGTATGGCTGAGGAGCTGTCTGCGCTGCAGCTTGTAAGGGCCTATTAAGGACAAATCTCTTTCAACATTACACTAAATCCTTTTTTCAGTCTTCACCAGGTTTTTTTTTTTATCATTCTGACTCTTCTACTCTCTTTTCACCTCTCTGTAGGAGTGTGCAGATAAAGAGTCTCAGATTGAAAGGTCCCTACGAGAGAGGAAAGCTGTAGAAGAGGAGCTGGAGAAGGTATCTGTCTCGGTGGAACAGCAGGAAAAAAGCTGCTAGAGCTAGCTAGAGTGCGGATAACATGGTTTTAAAAATGACTTGAGGCGAGGCTATCGCTTCTTCTAATGCTGCCTGCTGTGTTTTTGTTTCAGGTGTATAAAGAGGGGCGCGCAGAACCAGAGTTCAGGAAGATTGACGCTCTTCACCAGAGGTGTCTAGATGCAGAGAGGATGAAGGAAGACATAAGTCTCACTCTGCAGAGCACCAAAAACAGACTAAAAAAGATGGGGATGGAGTAAGTTTAACTCTCCACTGATATTCCTTCTCACATCCTGGGGTGTTCAGCTGCCCATGTGGCTCCATCTACTGCCAATATGATGGTTTTATAAAGCGCTATTTTCTTTTAAAAATGTTTTGGCAACACCTGGAATATTTTTGACATCCTTCTGAATCCATCCTTTTATATAAATAACTGTTTTAATCCCTACACACGACATTTGATTCGAAAATGATAAAAGTAGGGTAGACATGTGGAGATTATCCGACTGAACAAAACGTGATCCGTCTCTTAAATGTGCGTGAACCACAGACCTTATTTCCAGCTATTTTCCAAAATCCTACGGAGAAATTGCATTGTTTTTTTTTCGAAGGAGCCCATGCGCAGCTTACTTCCGGGTTTTAGGACGCGTCACTGTGGCACTCTATTGTGACATGTTTACCTGTTGTAACCCTTAGAGCAGTGGTTCTCAACTGGTGGGTAGCGACCCAAAAGTGGGTCGCGGACCCGTTTCGAGTGGGTGTCCTACGCTGTAAAGCCCCCCTGAGGGAAATGTGTGATATTAAGCTATATAAATCAAATGTGATTGATTGATTGATTGATCTGTGATCTCTTGCCCTGTATGCAGCTACAGTGAGGAGATCTCGCGGTGTCAGGAGGAAGTGCAGCGCCTGCAGAGCTCTCTGGTTTCGGCCCGGGACGACTGTGTCGGCGTCAGCGAGGAACGGCTGCAACTGCAGAGAGAGAACTTGCAGCTCCACAAAGACATGGATGAGCTGCGCAAGGCTACCATGCTGGTCCAAAAGAAGGCCAAACAACAGGTACACTTATTGTGAAGGACCACGGTATGTAGAAGAGAAAATCAACAAACGATATAAAGCTTAATTATATATATTATAAACAGAAATGCTCTGGAGTTCAAGCAACTTCCTTCAAAAACTTTTAAGAGACTCTTACGCAGCGTCAGGCTATGATTTTCACGGCGGCCTGTCGTAGCCCCTCGGTCTGGCCGTTATGCCACACAAATAATTGTACGTCCTACGGGTAGGACGTACAATTATTTGTGTGGCATAACGGCCAGACCGAGGGGCTACGACAGGCCGCCGTGAAAATCATAGCCTGACGCTGCGTAAGAGTCTCTNTGTGTGTCCGGGGTGGGAGATTCATACGATTGGTTGTTGGTTGAGCTTCCGACAGCTTTTGTTGAGCTTTTGTGTGTGTGTGTGTGTGTGTGTGTGTGTGTGTGTGTGTGTGTGTGTGTGTGCGAGAGTCTCTTTAATCAACTCCTCACAGAGCTCTCGTCAGAAACTGGACAAAAGTTAAACATGTGCAAACCACAGCCTGTCATGGCAAATACAATCGCTGCTTTAATTCTGTCTTTAGGACGTTGTTGTGAGTTTGGACGGAGTTTGTTAATTCATGTTTTTTACTAACCGGTATCAGTATGTAGTTACTTCAGCATCATTTTGAAACGTGTATTACAATTCAATCACTGTAAAATAGGTTAATCTGTTTTAATATCAATAATGTCAAACATTATATCATCATATAGGCCTATGCCTCCTTAGTATTACCGTATATAATATAAAATACTTTGAATAATCCAAACAAAATATATTCAATTTCAGAGCAGAAGAAACAGCCTTCAAGGGTCAAACTCTGCACATACATCATTCAGCAGTGCACAGTGAAGTGTGTGTGGTGTGTGTGTGTGTGTGTGTGTGTGTGTGTGTGTGTGTGTGTGTGTGTGTGTGTGTGTGTGTGTGTGTGTGTGTGTGTGTGTGTGTGTTNTTTTGTTTGGATTATTCAAAGTATTTTATATTATATACGGTAATACTAAGGAGGCATAGGCCTATATGATGATATAATGTTTGACATTATTGATATTAAAACAGTGATTTGTTTGCCATGTCATTTGTGTGTTTTTCTTATCGAAAAGTTAAGTTATTTATTTGTAAGCTCCAAATCCAAATGTTTCCCTCAATGGCCTTTGTGCCCTGGCATGTGGCCTTTGCGCCCTGAAAAAATGTGTGACACCAAAGGCCAAATGGCCTTGCCCCTGACGAAATTCCAAGCCTGCGCAGCGTCCACACGGCAGCGTGCGTTGAAGCTTACCGGTGGGCGTGTCGGAAGCTCAACCAACAACCAATCGTATGAATCTCCCACCCCGGACACACAAGCACGCGGTTTGATTGGCTAGAACTTGTACTGGCATATGATTTGATTGGCTGAAGCTTCCTTCGAAGCTTGAAAAGTTTAACTTTTCTCAACTTTTGAAGCGAGCAACCGAGGCAAAGCGCTGCGACGGAACCACAATGCTGTTCGGCAAAGCGTGACGTCACCCCATTCAAAGTGAATTGGAAGCTGCGTTGAAGCTTCAACGCACACCGCCATGTGGACGGGCCGTTAGTTGTTCTCCAAGATCCAGACTTGTAAACCCATGCTGGCCCAGTCTATTGTTGATTGCAGGGAAGAAAGGATAGGGAGCTCCAAGAGGCTAAGGTATCTAATTGTCAAGAACTGTTAGGACTTCATGCCAATACTTCAGAAGTAAAAGATACCCTCTAATTTATATTACCAGTTTCTAATACATTTGTTCTATTACAACACCAGACGTGTGTTTGTTTTATCCCCCCCCACGAATACAAGTGAAATGTTACTGTTAAAACATGCCATTAAACACTATTAATCATGGACTATAGAGATTAACGCAATAACATTCTTAAAACATGTTTTTTTTAATTGTGCTTGTAATTTCAGCCTTCACACTTATGAAAGATAAATACGAGTCAAGCTAGGTTTTTTGGTAAAGAAAACCAGAAAAGTTATGAAATAAATCTGCAGGGCAATAAGTCAAAAATAGTGCTAGCCCATTGGATTGATGAACATAGAGGATGTAAGAAGTAGGAAACGATTGGAAGGGACATAAGCGGAGTGAAGGACGGAGCCTGCTTTGGGGAATACCAGCGATATACTATGGCTCTTCAATAAAGTGCTTGAAGAAGGATACTTGCTAGAAACAGAATGAAAACAGACTGAAAGTCTTCAATGTGTAATATGGTGAACTTCAGACACTCACAATAAGTTAAAAAAGGTGTAAGTCTTCTACAGTAAAGCACTTGTCATTTTCCTCCCGCACACAAGGCAGCAGCAAACTAAAAGAGAGAGCCAGCACAAAATAATCTATCATTTTTAGAGTATGCTATACTTCACTGCTTTACCATGCTGTCTGCAGAATTATATGACAGGAAACGTATTGGGGCTCCCTTCAAAGCCACCAGACTCCATTGCCAAACAACAGTTCTTTTTTTATTGTGTGACTTTGGGCTTTAAGGGGACCAATGTCTCACCATCAAACAACAAAAACGAACCGCTAGAGACAATGTAGAAGCAAATCTAGGGTTCTGGGAGGCTGTTGGAAAGGGCTGTCTGACTGCGAGTGAAAACTGTAAATATTCCAAATATATATATTTTTATGGGATAGGTGAACATATTTACCTGCTGTTGGTGCCACAGGATAATTCAGAGGACCACATACGTCAATAGCATTTATCCTCTGGGGAACATGAATGGCCGTAAAAAATGGCAATCAGTCCAAATATTCTAAACACGCCTAATATAGATTTTTGCTGGATAACTGAGAATATTATTCCACGAGTTGTGCTACAGGATATTCAGAAGATCATGTCAGTCAATAGGGTTCATCCTCTCAAGAAGGTGACTGTATGGGAAAAATGTCCACGTCCGTCAGTCTAGTTTTGCATATTTCAATCTGGACCAAACAGACCAACATTGACATCCATCAAGCATCATGGCTAAAAGAAAATGAATGTGGTAGAAGCAGATATATCCGTAGTTTTGAGTATTGTTCAAGTTTTAAAAACCCTAGATCTTACAATGCCCTTAATTCAACTCCTATAATTTCAATTAGACAATCACTTTCTGGCAAATGGCCACATGTTTTATAACTCAATGCCTACAGTTTGCTAGTCTTTCTGATAGCCATTTCATTATATTATTTTATATTATGAGTTATTTCAAGCTCTATGGCAGTTGACAACTAGTTGTGTGTCTCTGCTGCCCCCCCCCCCCCCCC